TTTTGTACTTATTTAAAATGTTGCTATATATTACACTGAAACCCTGGGTATCAGACCTCATGTTGACCGTTTTGTTCAAATTAATATGAGTCATTTCGCCTATGTTGCGTTTATACCAGTTTGGTTCTCTCTCGAGAACCATAACATCATCAAAATTAAATTCATGTCCAGTGTCAAAATGGTGTGAGGCCAAAGCAGTTTTATCCTTTTTAGATTTGTTCCGAGTATTGCAATCATTTCTATGTTGATTAATCCTATTACCTAAATATTGCTTAGTCTGACCTATGTAACAACTGCCGCAAGAACAAGGAATGCTGTAAATTAAGTTGGATTGTTTTAGCAATGGAGTTGGATCTTTGATCTTAGTATACAAGAACGATGTCGTTTTTGAATTATAAAATGCTAACTTAGTGTTAGTGTTCATAAAGCATCGATTTATTTTATGTGAAAGGTTATCAATAAAAGGAAATCTGACATATTTAGTTCCAATAAAAAAAGATGGGTGACTAAGTTTTTCAGATCTATTTAATAGGCCTATAATTGTTGCTCTTTTCTGCGAAATTGGAATATTTGAATGAAAGTTTAGAATTCTACCTGAACTGGTTGGTTTTATGAACCAATTAGTCATGAGTGTCCCGTCATCATTTCTGAAAATTTCAACGTCCAGGAAGGATATTCTGCTGTCCGTCTCAACTTCGGAGGTAAACTGAATTTTTGGATGGTAGCTGTTCAAAAGTCGACAATAAAGTCGCGAAACGTCGCAAAAACATTGTTTCCTTTCAAGCCTTCCCAAACACCCACGACTTTTTTATCTGCAGAAGAATTAAGTTAGCATGGAGTACTTATGGAAGAAACTCAAACATATTCAAATCTAGAATGTCATTTTATTAAAGAAGAAAACATTCGACCAATGTGTACTACCAGTCATGACTGCATGCGAAACTGCAGGTCGCACAACGCGCAATGGAACGAAATATGCTGGGAATAGCTATAATAGATCGTAAAAGAATAGAGTGGATACGACAAAAGACCCAGGTAATAGATGTCATCCACAGAATCAAATCCCTCAAGTGGAAATGCGCAGGACACCTGGCAAGAAAGACAGACAACAGATGGACCACAAAAATTACAGCATGGTGTAATCACACCAAACCAAACCTACGAGGAATTAAAACCCCTAGAGGACGACCGAACCTGAGATGGGAACATGATATTAATAAATTAGCAGGGATAACTTGCGTCCGCATAGCCAACAATAGACCACAATGAACCCAACTACAAAGAGGGTATAATGTATACAGGGAGAGGCTACACCATAATTGGAAATGGTTGATTAAGCTGAGAATGATGATGATGATGATTGATAAATAAATAAAAAATGTGTTTTCTCGGCCATTTAAAATACAAGAAATGTTATGAAATCAAAACTATACTAGATATTCACTCTAGTTGGTCTGTACCACTTTTTTTTCATAACAAGGGGCCGCCCTCTGCCGGAAACACTGCGACCTGTGAGGCCTATTGTGTTTATCCCCCTTCTATATCTGCACCCATTCTCCTATCCCTGTGCCCTGCACTAGCTTATGCAGGTCCTTGATAGGATGGGAGCATAGTTCCTCCGGTTCTAGCCTAGCTTTCTCAAATAAAATGTGTCGCTTGCGACCCAGAGCCTCGTAATGACATATTATGTGCTCCGCTGTTTCTTTATCGCAGAGTCTGCAGCAAAAACTTCCTTGATACAGGTTGAGCTTGTTCAGGTAACACTTGACAGCCATGTGTCCTGTCAAGAGGCCTGTTGTAATCCGCACTTTATTCCTGCTAAGCATTAGCAGTTGTTTTGCGGTTTTAGAGCTAGGTCCTTGGATAAAAGCCTTGCTGTAGTTTTGTGCAGTGCCCCTGTCTGTTTTTTCAATGGACATTGTGCTTTTCCCTGACCCAGAGTTTTAGTGCACTACGGGCCATACATTTGGGTATTCCCAATACTGGCTCTGGACCAAGATAGGATGCCGATGATCCCTGCCTAGCTAGCTCATCGGGTTTTTCGTTGCCTTGGATGCCGCTGTGGCCCGGCACCCAGAATAATTTAATTCTGTTTCTTCGTGCCAGAGCTCCCAGATCACCCAGGCATTCCCAGACGAGTCTCGACGATACCTTTGGGCTCATAAGCGCCCCAAGTGCCGCTTTACTGTCTGAGCATATATTGATGAGCTTACCTGAATAAGCTCTTCTATTGTTTTCTCTTGCACATTGTAGAATGGCGAAGATTTCTGTCTGAAATACGGTTGAGTGTTTACCCAAGGAAAAGGATAAGCTTGCCCTTGGTCTTTCCCTAAATACTCCAGCTCCTGTTCCTTCAGCGGTCTTTGACCCGTCTGTATACCAGGTTAGTCCATCCTGAAGGAATGTTATGTCTGTACCACTTAGTATAGCAAACTAAGTCTATACCACTTAGTTAGGAGCTATAAATATCGTAATCTTAAACCATAAAGGGTGTTGAGAATTCTATACCAAACATGCTAGAAAATAAAATATCTTTTTTCGTTTTTTTTAATAGAATAACTTCCTATTCCTTTATTAGATGGAGAATTAAAAAATGTTTTTTTTGTATAATTTGTCACTATTACTAATACAAAAAATAAAATGCTGTATAATTAGTTATCGCATATGTTTATGTTATCAGTTATTTTAAAAATTACTCATAATTTACTAATAGTTCTATGAAAAGTTTTCTTCCAAGTACATTTAGTAAACTTTTTATTTATTATTTTATTTTTTAACGATTATTACTGCATACTAGTTGAAATATTACAAGTATCTTTTATGCAATAGATAATTTTCTAGTCTATTAATTCTGTGAAGCTTTCCGTCTGATCGACTGTTGATGTCTCTGTGTCGTTTTGATTTGCATAAGACATTTTACTGTGATAAAATAATCTGAATGAGCATAAAAACTGATTTGACGTCAAATCATGTCAAAATTATCAATACAAGATGTACAACGTGTTCCATCATAACTTCACACATCATGAAATAATGCTTAAACACAGTTTAATTAAATAAACACGACTCTGATATCCCTGCTGATATCTGTTTGTTTATAAGACGTTTGTATAGTGGATATTGGATGGAAAATTAATATAATATATGATTAACAAACATTTAAATAGTAATTAAATATCAAATATTTCAACGTTGCCCCGCTAATAAAATAGAATTTAACCTAAGTAGGGTACATATCGCATTAAGCAATCTATGTTCATCGTAGCCAGAGATGTAGGTTATGAATGCCATTACTAAATAATATTATCTGAAAACCAAATATGCAATTCTTGAAATACCACTGCATATTACGAGAGGTTGGCCTTCGAGAAACACGGGATAACCCGCTTTAGGACCAATAACAACATTGTGTGATAACTGTCCGATCACTGACCTTCTAAAACCAGTTACGATCGAAAAAATGATTAAGAAAAACTAATCAAATTTCAACAAAAATGAAAGAAATACAATTTTGTCATTTATTTTACAAAATTAAATAAAAATGTCGTTTTATATTTAGCATTTGGTTTCTGTAAAAATAAATATACCGGGTGCGTCTCAAAAGTGGCTCATCCCCTATAACTTTTTTATTTTTTCAGATAAAAAAAAACTAGATTTGGTGTGTTAGTATATGACATAAATTAGGATTGATTGACGTATTCAATTGTTTTTGGTCAATTCCTGTCTCACCGGAAATGTGTATTCGATAGAATATTTTGAATTCTGAATAGAATGACATATCATATGTCAATTTTTGACATTCTCGCTTAATAAAAAATCGTATTTTAAATTTCAATCTGGAGTAGGTACCATGGTTATGTTAAAAACACTAATTCTTAATCAAGGAGCCTCGGAAAAATAGATTTGATCGTCTAATGTTTTTAGTGTCTTGTCCTGGCCGGTTAAAAGATTCCCAAATCGTATTTTTAATTATATCTCAATTTTTTCAAATGGAACGAGGGTGGCTCATTAGCATATTCGGAAAAAGCATTTTTTACGAATAATTTGATACCACACACTTAGTATTTCAAGTGAAGAGAACTTTTCGTTATTAACCGAGTGTTATTTTCTATTGAAAATAGTAAAAAAATTCCGAGGGTGCCATTTAAAAATAAAAAGTTGTAGTCATTTGCGGTGAAACAGGAAGTGACCGAAAACAATTGAATACGTCACTCAATCCTAATTTATATCATATACTAATATACTAAATCTCGTTTTTTTAACTGAAAAAATAAAAAAGTTATAGGGGTGAGCCACTTTTGAGACGCACCCGGTATACGAAAACCTTGCAAATCAAAATAAAACATACAGTATATTTTATTCGGTTCACTATGGATGAAAAATAAAATACATTAAAAAATTAATTCAGAAAGTTAGAAATCATTGATTTTATAAAGTTCATAGAATTAGTCTTGTACGTCCGTACAAATAGCAAACTGAGAAAACCTGTTTTAAACAGGAGTATTATAAAAACAAGCTTATAGAATTGATAATTTATATAAAAAAGTAAAATATTTCTTTAAAAGCATATAGAAAACCAAAAACAGGCTTCCTAGTTTGACCTTCTGGATAACTCGCCATCGTAACCTGAACAAATTAGACCTTGAAGGTTGCTAAAGCTTATTTTATCTTATATTTTATTGATACTATTTTGAAAATGTCAAAGAAGTAAGATATTTGTTATGACAAAGTGGATGAAGTATTTTAAATTATAAGATATAAAAATATTAAATTAAGTAACCAAATAATGTAGCCAAAAACACATCTAACTTTAAAGAAGTAAAACATAAAAATACTATAAAATAGCAAGTACACGATATATGATGTCAAAAAAAGTAATATTGCCATTGGCATATTGAAACCAAGTAAAATTCCTTCGACCTTCTGGGCAACTCAAGTCACGTCATAATGTCAAGAAAACATTCTTCCGAATACAAACCCAACAATCGTATTGTTCCTACCTGTTTTTCTGAGGTAACTGGGCTGGAATATCCGACTCTGTCACTTGGGAACGAATAAGACACTAAAACGACACTATTCACTGTACACTACAGAAGCATTATTCAGTGCGATATTTTGACAGAACAGTTCAGGTAAACCGTATTGCGAAGGCGACCAGTCGAAAGCACTGCGGCCGACTACTACACTCGGTTCACCTGAGAGGTGAGGTAAAGGTGCGTCCCGTTAGACTGGAATGTTTTGGTCTTGACAGCCCGCACCAACAGAGAGTTAAAATCGTAGGTACTAGGTACGCTTATTAAATATGTTACAGGTGAAAGTATAACTTTTCAATTTTATCCGATAGTCAAGCACCATTAAAAGCGATCAACGAAGTTACTATCAATTCGAAGTTGGTCAAAAAATATCTAGGGAACAAATTAGTCAAAGAAAATAAAGTCCTCTTACTCTCCTCCTCTCTAGAAGATGGACCAGAATCGTAGGACCAAAAGTGGAAACCAACTTAAAGCGGAGCTCTAGAAGGTTCTTCTATCAATTCTCTATCAATTCGAAGTTGGTCAAAAAATGCCTAGAGAACAAATTTAGCGGAGCTCTAATCGTGGGACCAAAAGTGAAAACCAACTTAAAGCGGAGCTCTAAGTTGGTTTCCACTTTTGGTCCTACGATTCTGGTCCACTTTCTATCCTTTGGTGAGCTGGCACCCAGAGTAAGAGGACTTTATTTTCTTTGAATAATTTGTTCTCTATGCATTTTTTGACCAACTTCGAATTGATAGTTACTTCGTTGAATGTTGGAGTCTTCCAGGTGGAGAGACTCCATCCATAACTTACGGGAATCCTCTAACGGTCTAAGACACTCAAAGAAATTTCTCAGAACTTACGACGGAGAAAAGTCAAAGATTGACACTTTCTTCTCAATTCATTTGACACTAATCATGAGTCGGTATTTGAGTAACGCGATTTTGGAGCGGTATTTTTTTGTAATGTCGTGTCGCGCTCCACAACAAATCAGGTATCTGTTACTGAAGAACGACGATCATAATAACGACAAAACTATCAATTAATTATAATCGCTCTTGAAGTTGGCTCGAACCATAGTAACCGCATAGCGACGTGTTTCACTCCAGCCGTCGCGCTCCTAGGGTTGTGATTTTGTCGGTCGCCAACAGTAGTAACTGGAACTGAAAGTGGTAACTAGGTAGCGTGGCGCGATCTCGACCGCGACGTGTTTCGCTCCAGCCATCGCGTCGCGCTCCTAGAGTCGTGGTTTTTTTTCGTCTGTCGCGAACAGAAGTAACTGGTAACTAGTTATCGATGCTCGAACTAGGCCGCGACGTATTTCGTTCCAGCAGTCGCGCTCCTAGGGTATCATTTTCGTCTGTCGCGATTTAGTCGGTCTGATAAAAATTTTAGCATATATAGGTATCTTGAATAATGATTCTAATTATGTTATTTTTTTATTATTTAAGCTAAAATTTTTCTAAAGCAAACATATTTTTAGAACAAAAGATAGAAAAATGTAGTTATCTTACAAAAGTATTTGTTTATTTTAAATTGCAGCTCTTATAAGGTGGATTACAGGAATATAAATTATATTGAATACCAATAAATGCATGTAGGTACATATTTTAAGTTTATCTATTTTATTTCGTTTATAAATTTACAGGGGTACAGAGATAACGGCAGGGTTGGGAGCAGTGTTGTCAGAACTTCTATCATTCTCTATAATAAATTTAAAAATACAATTTATATCATTACAAAAGTTTTATTTTTAAAATTTGTAGTTTGTGAAAAAAGGTGGTGAAAAAGTCAATAAATCTCAGCAAAATGTTAACAGAGCTGGTACAATAATTGTAAGAACCTGATAACGCTGGTTGGGAGTAGGTAGATACTAATGCAGCCACCAGAAATATTGCATAGGCGAGGATAGATTTTTCTGGAACGGTCGCTATTGTAACGCGACTTATGTGGAACCGGTATTCCCATCACTATTTGACGCTGTCTTCTCAATGAACACCTTAGTAGAATGAACCTAAGGGTACAAATATAGTGAGGCATTTCATCACGATGCTACCCCCAATGCATCCTAGGCGCACTTACTCACTCGTCTTTAAAACAGTGCTTAAAACGCGAGCGTAGGATGCATAGTATCGTGATGAAATGCCTCACTATTTTTGTACCATAAGAAACACAGGCGATTTCAAATTCTGTGGGGAAGACAGAGAAACACCAAAACACCTAGTTACTGAGTGCGCTGATACAACTAGTTGCTAATGCAATTTTAGGACATGATTTATGAAACATTTTGGAGTAACTTCTTTACGCGCGCTGGGGGTAAAAATTCAATTCCGTGACATACGAGCTAGTGAGACGGCTTTGACACACGAGCTAACGAAGCACGAGCGAAAAATACGTAGTGACGCGACGTGTATTTGTGAGCAGTCCACGTGTTTATCAAAAATATTAATATTTTAATACAAATTTTGTAAAAGTGAATCAAATTATTATGTGTAAAAAACATTTGTTACACGTAAAAAACTATTTTTATTGTTTTAGGCCAATAAAACTGTTACGCGTAAAAATATAAATCTAAAAATATATGTGAAACTTACGTGTATAAAACTATTTGTTACTGGCAGAAAGCTATTTTTTACGCGTGTAAAGCTATTTTTTACGTGTTTAAAATCTATTTGTTACACGAAAAAAAATCATTTTTTACGCGTCAAAAACTTATTGTTTCTGGTAGAAAACCTTTCTTACACAAAAAAAATATTTTTACGTGTAAAAAACTATTTGTTACACGTAAAAACTAATTTTTACGCGTCAAAAACTTATTGTTTCTGGTAAAAAAATCTTTTTTACTCAAAAAAAAAACATTTTTTAAGTGTAAAAAACTATTTGTCACACGTAAAAAATTATTTTTTTACGGGTCAAAAACTTATTGTTTCTGGTAAAAAAAATTTTTGTTACGCAAAAAAAAACTATTTTTTACGTGTAAAAAACTATTTGTTATACGTAAAAAAATATTTTTTACGCGTCAAAAACTTATTGTTTCTAGTAAAAAACTCTTACCCAAAAAAAAATAGTTTTTACGTGTAAAAAACTATTTGTTCACGTAAAAAAATATTTTTTACGCGTCAAAAACTATTTGTTTCTGTTAAAAAACCTTTTTTACGCAGAAAAAAAAACACTTTTTACGCATAAAAAAACTATTTTTTACGCGTAAGAAAATATTCCTTTAATTTATTACTTTTTCAACATTTCAAACTACACTTTTTCAAACATTTCCTTCAAATTTATCAATTTAATACAATCTTCCTAAACAGTAGCTGTTCTTTATAAAAATATTTTTAGATAATACCCTAAAATTAAAAAAAAATGCATACTATTTAATTTAGTTTTATTGTATTATTAAATATAACGTCCGCCTATGACGGGGTTTCATCTTAGAAAACGCTAAAGACGCTACAGAAAACAAACTGATTTGTTTTCATTTGCGTTTTTTGTGAGACACGCCGAACGCTACACGCTTTTGGTGTGGCCACTCCTATATAATCCTGTTATTTTGTTTTAGTCGCTAAAGACGCTTCACGCTAAAAACGCAAAAAACGCTTTCTGTGTGGCCGTGGGCTAATTTGTTTTCATTTGCGTTTTTTGCGAGACACGCCGAACGCTACACGCTTTTGGTGTAGCCACTCCTATATAATTCTGTTATTTTGTTTTAGTCGCTAAAGACGCTTTCTGTGTAGCCGTGGACTAAAGGTGGGATTCATTTATTTAACATATGGTTTGATTTTTGCCACACTCGCAGGAGGGGCTTGGACTCTTGCCCCATTTGTGTAAAGTATAAGCGCATCTGCCATGTTGCGTTCTAATTCTGTTTAGCATGCACCAGGTTTTCCTTGGTAAGTCGAAACCTGGCGGTAAGTTGGTGATACATGGCATGTCACTATTTTGTTTCGACGTCCATTCCTGATACCAAGCGTCCGAGATGCTCCATTTATCTTCAATTGCATATAGTGCGGTCTTGGTTGGTGGTTTTCTGGATCGGAGGCGGTTGTGGTTAGTATCCTCGATGTCTGTTTGGATCGGTAGTTCTCTGTTGTCCAATATCTTGTTAAATTCTCTGTACAGAGTGTTTATGCGGCGCAGACTTGGAGGTGGGATGTGATTCAGAACTGGAAGCCATTCTGTGGGTGTGGATTTAATAACACCAGCAATCATTCTCATTGTATTATTGAGCTGTGCTTCTATTTTGTGGACGTGTGTGCTATTGAGCCATACCGGAGCACAGTATTGGGCAGCTGAGTAGACGAGACCCAGAGCTAGCGAGCGAAGAGCACCTCAAGATGTTCCGCACAATTTTTGTATTATATTGTTTCTTGTTTTTGGCGGGATTAAAAAAATGTAGACGAAGATGGAGCCATTTAAATAGATTTTAATGGTAAATAGTAAACAAATATGTTTCTAACGCGTCAACGTGTATCTATAATACTTCTCGAATCGGAGGTATCACAAGAACTAAATTAGACTGTCTGCACCAATAGAGTATGCTAATTCATATTTTGCCATTATCAATTCCTATTATAATTACAATTAAACAGAATTGCGGTACTCAAGAAAGCACATTTAAAATATTTATTTTTTTGAAATTACTACTTTTATCATCATAATCTTTTTTCATATAACATAAATAATAAGACTAGGACTGTTTTAAAACATCTAAATAATATTAATGTTCTGCTTTTAGTATAATAGTAATGAATACCATACAACCAAACAAGTTTGAATTAGAAGAATGAATGGAATGTAGGGAAGAGGGTTGGACCCGCAACCTTACAGATCTATTGTGTCACCATTCCTTGAGTTATAACTCATCATACAGTCTTAGAGCATTGCCAAAGGCCAACATCTGTGACGGTTTTACAGAGGTTAGTTCTACCAAAGTTTATGACAATATGAAGATTGTTCTTACTGAAATATCGCAAACCCTTTGATTTCTCTCGGTCGTAAATTCTGAGAAATTTCTAGTATCTTAGGTCGTTGGAGGAATTCCAGGTTACGGAATAAGTATGGTTCTTGAGTTCCGATTTAACTTGGATTCCACCTGGAAAGCAGAATGGTTCTGGTCCAGTTAGTGGAGTGTTAGCTTCTTTTCTAGCTAGATCGTTTGCTTTTTTATTGCCTTC